ACCCCGGGGACGGCGCAGGGCCGGCGGCCGTATCCTTGCGCCGCTGCGCGTAAGGAAGAGGCTGAATGAGGCGCCGCGCGGGGGCCGTGGGGCGCCGGGGGAGGAGGCGGCGGGATGGGAGCAGACGCTGGCGTCGCGCGAGCCCGGGGCAGAGCGGCGCGGTAGAGAGGGCGGCGGCGGCGGCCACGCGCGCGGAGCCTTGACGTGCCCCTTTCTTTCTTCTCTCTGGGAAGCATGAGCGTGCAGACCCGCCGCCGCGGCGGCCGCCCGGGCTCTTCGCCTCCCCCTCTTCTGGTCGCCCCTCGCCGGTGAGAGGAGAGAGCGCGAGAAGGGAAGATGGGGGCCGTCCTGAGGAGCCTGCTGGCCTGCAGTTTCTGTGTGCTCCTGAGAGGTGAGGCGCGAGCCCCGGAAAGTTGGTGGGCTCCGGGCCGTGGGGGGGCGGCCTTGCTGCGGTGCCGGGCGGGGGAGGGGAGGAGGCTGGGGAGGGGACGGGGAGCGGGGAGAGGCCTGGTCGCGGGCAAGGCGAGGGAGAAAGGGGCCCCGGAGCAGGGGCCGTGCGCGCCGCCCGGCCGCGGCGCGACCCCTGCCTGGCTCTGCCGGCCGGCTCTGCACAAAGCTGAGCCTCCTTCGGGCGGCTGACCCCCGGCACCCCATCCTGTGGGAATGACCTGAGTGTCTGTGCGTCGCTTGCCGCCTGGAGTCATCAGGGAAAAGAGTCTTCGCACGTATTTGGCTTTAAATGTGCCTCAGCCCAAGGTGCTTGAATGTTGGCCTTCTCCCTCGAAGCCCCCACCTTTTGCGTGTCTCTTAGGTGAACTTTTAAAGCCCTCTTGCTATTTTTTCCAGGCCTTGTTACAGCTAATAATTGGCTTCCGTTTGGAATATAATGATCCTGGGCGAGAGCACAGTTGGAAAGTGACTCGGGGGTTACAGGTCGAGCGTTTCAGCCTTGGCAATTTTTTAAGCTGCAGCCCATAATAAAATACAGACGTTGCTCTTGTAACTCCTGGTATTCAGGACTCGCCCCAATTTTCCGAGTATGCGAGTCGTACAGTTGGCACCAAGTAGAGGAATCATCTTTGGGTGATGAGGATCCTGTCCTGTCCTGGGAACTGAGCTATCATTTGCTGTGCACCCCAGGGGACGGCTTGGCACTTTGGAAAATAACAGACTGCTCTGGATAATTTGCTCTGGGAATTACTTAAAGTCGGTGCTCTGTGATGTTTTGAATTGGACCGCAAAGCTGACACATGGGTTGTGGCTTTTATTTTGTGACAATTCATAGAAGTTTTTGATTGGCCGGCGAGAACTGTCGACAGGTCTTCCCAAGTTGATTAGTGTGGAAGTGGAGATGAGGCTGATGCTGTGGAGCATTTCTTACTAGCAGAGGAATGTTAAGTACTGCAATGTTAAGGATGCAGTGCCTTGTAGTTTGGGGATTGTTAATTTAACATGTCACTTCCTTTCAGGTGTGGCATCTCTTGAATCTCTGGCCATGTTTAGCAATTAAGTGGCAAGCTGAACTTTTGTTCAGTTCTTCAAAACTTAGCAAGTTTACAGAGCATGCTAGTAACTAATGATCTTGTGAGGTAAATGTGACAGCTGTCATTTTTGTGTTTTGGAAAAGTGATTGTCTCTTTTTTTATTTGCTCCTTTGCACCATTATTGTGTCTGCATATATGGTATTTCTTAATAAGTATAGCTCCATTGTAAACATACTTAAGCTGTGTAGTTCCACATGTAAACTCCAGAAATACAGTGCGTGTTTAATTTTCAAGGCAGAGAACTTAATAATGTTATATGCCTGAGAAATTTAATAAGTATATGTTTATTAAAGTTTACTTGCTACTGAAAGATTTATTTAGCTACAGCTGTGAGAAACAATTATATTTGATACAAGAACATAATTTAAGGTAGATGTTAATAGAGTTAACAAATACAAGAGCCAGCAGATTGCTTGGAGTCTTGGGGAAATCTAAATCCATAACCAGTATGCTTTGGTTGCTCAGTTGTATTTCTTGGAAGGGAAGGGTGTGATGTAAATGCAGTTTGTTTATTTTAATACCAAGTTTGGGCCCACAGCTTTTTAGTTTGCTTGAGTTTAGAGAAGTGATACTTGGAGTAATATGTTTTGAACTATAATGTTATGTAACAGGACCTGGAAGAGGCAATAGTTTGTCTCATTTCCACTGCCAAAGTCTTCAAAAGTGGGGCTGTTAGCTGGGTATGGTGGTGCACATTTGTAATCCCAGCACTCTGGGAGACTGAGGCAGAAGGATAACAAGTTCAAACCAAATTTAGTTTAAACCCAAGTTCAAACTCAATTTAGTGAAACTGTCTCAAAATGAAGATATAATAAATAAATAGAAAGGACTAAGGATATGGCACTGTGTGAAGGCCTTGGGTCTCCATCCCCAGCATGGAGCAGAGATGTGATGGGTGAGTGGGTGGAGCTATTAACTTTATAGCATAAGAAAGGAATAAGATGGTCTTTTTATTTAAGAATATTTAACTGTGAGTACATGACATTTGAACTAAAATTCTTTTTTTTTTGGCTCTTCTCTGGTACCAGGAACCGAACTCACGACCTTGCGCTTTCCAGGCAGGCGCTTTTGCCGCTGAGCTAAATCCCCAGCCCTGAACTAAAATTCTTGATGTAAAGATTTTTGTGTTCACAACTTAGGTTGTTTTCACTCTTGATGATGTTACCCTGTTACAAGTCATAGTCAAAGTTGGACTCCAGGGAGAAAATGTGATTAATTTGTTGTCTTAAGGTCATGACCTTTTTCCTCACAGAGGAGTTGGAGCTTTTGGGTGTGTGATGGTGTGTGTGAGAGTTGGAGAGAACTTTGGTCCTGTAGGCTCGTTAATCAGTAGCTGAAAGCCAGGGAATGCTGTCTCACCCAGGATGCATCCTGTTTGCTATTAAGTGACAAGGTGTAATGGAAAGCTTTGGGGAGTTCAGTGCCACAATCTTGAGTTTGAAGCCAGAGCTTCATTACTTCATAACTTTGTGGTTCTGGTCTAGTCAGCTTCTCTGGGCCTCAGTTTCTTTACCTGTATAATGTGAGTAATGATACCTGTCTGTATAATGTGCAGGGTTATTAGGTGTATTAAATGAGGTAATTAATATTAAGTGTTTTGCAAATGTCTTATTCTAATTTTTGATTATTTGTGAACATATCAACGGTTGGGGATTTAAGGTTTAATTTGCATAAGTTTCATGAATTCTTAAACTTAGAAGAATCTTATTCTTTGCGTCTAATCACTTGTAAGTGGGGAAATTCACATTCAGAGATACTGTAACTTGATCAAGGTCTTAGAGCAATTAATGGTACAGCAGGGATCTGTTACTTGTTCTTTTAATGTATATCTCCGAGTATGTATCAGCTTCTGATAGAGTGTTGGGAAAACAAACACAATTTTTGCTTTAATGGACCCAACAATTTAGTTTGCCATCCTTAATATTCTCTGAGTTCCGTCCAGGTATTGATCTATAGGTATCTTGGATTTTTCTAGAGGAAATATTTTTGTTAAAAATTATAAGTTTTAGAATACCATATAAGTGTGTAAGCTTTGTAAGTACTGTATCTTAGCTTTTTTTTGAGGTGGTTATATAGAATTTATTACTTTGTTTTGGTGCAGTGGTAGTTAATAGTACCAGAACAAACCACTAATGTTCCTCAACTTATTTCTATGAAAGGGATCCTTCTAAAGTTTTTTTTTTTTTGTAAAGTTTTGGGGGAGCTGTGAGTTTACCTTTAGCTAGCTGTGTGACCTTAGATGAATCACTTTTCTGTATACTTTATTATATTCTTTAGGGTGAAGAATCCTTTTTTTTCAGATGTGTAATTCATATTATCATATTAAGTGCTCTGAGAAGTCTGAAATAGAGGAACTAATTTTAACTGTGTTTAACCTGATATTTTCCAAACTTGACAATTTTTTAAAATAAATGCTTCTAAGTTATGAGTTGATTCCTGTAAATTGTTATTTGATGACAGTTTCATATAGTTCATCTGATACTTTATTTCCAGCTTTTTTATTTGGCCTTAGGTTTAGTTGTCTGGCTGGAGAATAATTTGTTATGAAATTTCAAGGTTTTAGCTCATTATTATCAGAATGACTAACAGCGATTTCTCATGGTTTTCTGTAGAAAATTATTTCTTTTGTTTTAATTGAAAGTTTTTCCATTTGGTGAACTGAACTACTGTGTCTGAAACATGCTTTGGCAATCAGAGAGGACTTACCTTTATTTGAATATCAAAGGAGATTCTATGAAGAGTGCAGTTTGTTAGCACATACATATAGGGAAAACAGTTATTTGATACTAGCACGTGCTTGTGTTTCTCATGCAGTGTGTGTTATTTGTGACAGTGGTTATCACTAGAAAATATTAAAATGTTCTTGGGGTTTTACTGATGAGAATTATTGGTGTTTTGATGCTGTGTTCCTATTAGCTGCAATGGAATGGAACTTTCTAGTTTCTCTGATACTTTGCTTAGAAGGGCCATATATAAGCCTGGGGTATGGGGGTATATCCGTGCAATCCCAGCTGGGGATTGTCCCAGTTGGGAGGCTAAGGCAGGAGAATTGCAGGTTTGAGCTCAGTTTGGGAGACGTAGTGAGGCCATGCCCCAAAGTGAAAAGGGGCTAGGGAGGTACCTCAACACTCCTTGGGTTCCATCACTGGTACTGCAAAAGAAAAAGAAAAAAAGAAAGGGAAAAGAAAAAAAAAAAGCCTTATAGTTTGGAGATGATTTCAGGAAAATTGAGGATGCAAGGTGATATTATATTTTTAGGCAAAAATCTACTTTATATAAGTTAATAGTTGATACCAGGTTTAAAGTTACTGAGATTCTCATTAAGAATAAAAATAAAGAGGTGAGCATGATCAGCAAGTTATTTTTTTCCAAGAAAACCCAAATAATAGAAAATTGTACTTCTGTCAAATTAAATGTTTGGCTAGGCGGCTTTTTTCTTCACTGGCCTTGGTTAGTCATTGTTGTATCACAGTTTTACCCAAAGCATACCAAATAGGTTATTGGGATTATAGTCTTCCTCATTATTGACATAATTTATTGGGAGGTGTAATTTAAGTATACACATATCCAATTTAAAGATACTATATTTTGATAGTCTGAGAAAACTGACAGCTGAAATTGAGTAGCATGTACTCTTAGCTACATGTTATATAGTCTTTATTTGTAGATTTAACCTGCTGCAGATCAAAAATGGGGAAAATTGCATCTGTTAAACATGTGTAGAGCTTTTCCCTTGTCATTATTCCCTAAAAGGTACAGTATAACTCCTGGTTATATAACATTTACATTGTAGTAGTAGTTATAAGTAATCTTGGGATCATTTAAAGTATTCAGCGAGCTATAGGTT